GTTATAGGTATCGAGAAAATATATCAAATCTGGAAAGAACCCAAACCTCCGCGACCCACAGACAGGTGGCAACATTCTACATCACATAGCCATACACTGCCATAAGTTCATCGATCCAGAGATGTTGACTGTTGTGTACATGCTAGCCTGTGCTAATGTGGAAGTTGACGCACAGGATCATAACGGAGACACAGCACTACACCACGTTGTTCGTCAGCGAGGAGCCTATAGGCTTCTGGTAGCTCTTATCAGGTACTGCTTTTTAGTTAAAGATTATTTTCATTGCACACAGTTATTCTGTGTAAGTATCATCTCCATAGAAATTTCTGGACATTGAGAATGGAAAATTTCACTATATCTCCTTTATATGCAGACTAGTTAAATCCAGTCAATCAATGCCAAAGCAGCTTTAAAAAAAAAGTAGTTACAGAAATTTCGCAATAATAAGAATGGCTTATAACTCTTCTTTTAGGACATGTTCATATTTAGAATGCACATTGATTCCATTTGTAAGTGAGTTGCGAATCCTTTACAGGACGTTGCAGAACCAGCCCCATAATTTTTTTTTTTTTTGGCTGTTTGTTGTTTCTTTATGCACTTCTACGTTCAGTAGTTTGCTCTCGGTACGATGGTCAAAACCAACGCAAAGCGGTCTGCTACCAAATCGCCAGCAGCTTATATCGAACACAGCACTTGGAAATACTAAGCGTGTTCGCAATGCCTAAGCCACAGATGCCGACTTATATGTGTAAACTGAGTACAATATGTGCAAACTGAGTACAATATGTGTAAACTGAGTACAATATGTGTAAACTGAGTACAATATGTGCAAATTGAGTACAATATGTGTAAACTGAGTACAATATGTGCAGAGTACAATATGTGTAAACTGAGTACAATATGTGTAAACTGAGTACAATATGTGCAAACTGAGTACAATATGTGTAAACTGAGTACAATATGTGCAAACTGAGTACAATATGTGTAAACTGAGTACAATATGTGCAGAGTACAATATGTGCAAACTGAGTACAATATGTGCAAACTGCCAAAAGCATTTAAAAAATAATTATGTCATTTTGAATTAATTAGAAGACACTAACAGGATCTGCAATTCATTTAACATTATCAAGCAAGATTTTCGTGCAAATTTCAAAGGTGCAAATTAATTTTTATTCAGATGTGGCGCAGACACAAGCATCCAAAACTCAGCGATGATGACAGCCGAGGATATACTCCAGCTAGACAGACCACCTGGTCATGAAGAGATGTTACATTGGTACAACAAGTTTAAGCCAGGTTAGTCGTCCGACAGTTAGCAGTTGTAGATGCTTGTCTTTCACTGACAATAATAAGAAGAACATCACAACGGAAGCATACACAGAAGGAGTACTACCAATCATCAGTAAGTGAGTCCCCCTCTTCAACAATTGTTTCGGCCCAGTTATCAATTCTATACAATCTCGAGGGGTAGGACGACCTAGGTCATGGTGGACCTAATAACTATTCGGTATTCGGCCGAATACTTGCGGTCGGGCCAAATACGAATAGTGGTTACCTTACACCCGTCTCTGCATTCACTGTGATTGTTGCTATTGCCTATGTCGCTTTCATGCATTAACTAAGCTGTCAGTGACAATTTGCAAGTTTAGTTACTTGTTATAACACAAAGAATACTTTCATTCCTAGCTATTAGTAACCACAGACTGGCTGACTAAAGGATGCAAAACATAAAATGTTTTAAAATGTTTTTTATTCTTTACTACATTTTGTGAAGTAAAATTTCAGCGTACATTTGACATTATGAATTTTTTTTTTTTTATCTATTTTATACACTATTCGAAAGTGGAAGAATGGGCCTCAGTTTGAATTGTGGGAAGACAGAAGAAATGGTGGTATCAAAGAAAAGAATTATTCCTGAATTTGTAATAAAAGTCATTTATGCTATTTTGGGACAAGTACAGAAAATGAAGTATTTGGGCACAGGGATAACATCAGATGGAAGATGCATTACTGAAATAGGAAACAGAATAGGACAGCCAAAAACTGCATTTTATAAAATGAAGAACATCTTATGCAATATATCTTTTTCATTGAAGGTTAGAAAAAGAATTCTTGCTTGCTACATACATCCAGTTTTAACATATGGCTGCGAGTCCTGGACAATCGATAGGCAGGCTAAACCATTTCTTAAGGCCTCAGAGATGTGGTTTTACAGAACAATGCTTAAAATACCTTGGACGCCCCCACCCCCCCCACCCCCCCCCCCCCCCCCCCCCCCCCCCCCCCAAAAAAAAAAAGCAACCAAGAGGTTTTGAAAGAGACGGGAGCCTGAAAAAAAAACTAATCACAGACATCAGAAGGAGAGAGTCATAATTTTTCGGCCATGTTATGAGAAGAGGGAAAATGGAACATGTGGTGACCACTGGAAAGATCTGTGAAAGGAGGGATAGAGGAAGACAACAAGAAAAGATTCTTGACAGTCTTGTTGCATGGCATGGAGGTGTGTCAGCACACGAACTACTACATGGTGCAGGAAATCGCAGATTGTGGAGAGGCGTAATCTCCCACGCCAGTCGGCAAGGCACCTGATGATAATAATGCACAATTTGTATTCGGCCAAACAGTGAAAACCATTATTCAGTACAGCCCTAGTATAAACAAACACTTCTAGACATAGTTAAGAATCTTAGCTTCCTTACAAACTTTAGGGGGGAGGGGGGTGAAAGTGCTTCTAAAATTGGCTGGGTACGAAGGGAGGGGGGGGGGGGGCTTCACGCCACCACCCTCTCGGTTTAGACGCTTCTGCTCCTCGAATGAGTTATAATGAGAGTGTCGACTCATGTCATCCGCAGGTCTTTGGTGTGCTCTTCAAGAAGACAAACCTGACAGAAAGCTGATAGAGAAGCTGTTGAAATCCTGGTGTCGCCTGACCACGGTGAAGAATGGGCAGCTGATTAACATGAAAGCACGTCTGCAGTACGACATGAAAATGATGTCACTTCTCAAGGTCAGATTACTCCTCACAGCCCTTGTCTTTCTCCCATCTTTTTTTTTTTTTTTCATATTGGCAAGACATTAATCTAGTTTCATCCCCGCACGGGTTCCATTGCAATTTTGGAGGGGGAAGGGGTAGACCAACTGCCGCTAACAAGCATGTCATAAAAGGCGACATGGGTTTGAGCAGACTGTGTGGATGTTTGGACGAAAGGTGCAGATATTGCAGCGCGTCTGTAAAGCACACAGAAGTTCAGGTCTTGATTTTCCAGAATTCTCCAGAGTAGTAGTCTCCAACATGGAAAAAAAAAGAGAGAAAGGGGGGGGGGGGTCACATAAGCTAGTACCAAGAAAGGAATCAAGCAACTTTGAAAATGAGTTTACTGTCCATCATACGAGTTGTTTTCAATTTAATTATCAAAAAAATATTCTTTATTTAAAAAAAAAAAAAAAAACATATATAAAATCCAAGGACGTTTTTTTTTTAAAACTTTTTGTTCAACTACTGTTAAAATTTTAATTAATATGATAACACTTGCATTAAATTATAGATTTAAAAAAAAACATTACTCCTCTTTTAAAAGTTCCGATTTGTTATTGATTGGAAAGAAGGGGGGAGGGAGGGGTGGCAATTGTCATATACTGGAACAAGGCAGTGGGGGTGGGGGGGGGGGGGTGTTTGTCTCACGTGAAAAAGGTTGGAGACCACATCTCTAGAGCAGAGGTTCTCAAACTGTGGTCGCGATCTTTTTGTGAGTCGACCGACCCTTTCGCAAGTGTTGCTTATGACCATCGGAAGACACATAATCACTTAAGATATGAAGTAGCAACGAAAATAACTCTCTGGTTGGAGGTCGCCACAACATGAGCAAATGTATTAAAGGGTCGCCACAACAGGAGCAACTGTATTAAAGGTTCGCCACAACAGGAGCAACTGTATTAAAGGGTCGCCACAACAGGAGTAACTGAATTAAAGGGTCGCCACAACATGAGCAACTGTATTAAAGGGTACCCACAACAGGAGCAACTGTATTAAAGGGTCGCCACAACATGAGCAACTGTATTAAAGGGTCGCCACAACAGGAGCAACTGTATTAAAGGGTCGCCACAACAGGAACAACTGTATTAAAGGGTCCCCACATTAGGACGGTTGAGAGCCACTGCTCTAGAGAGTAGTGCTGTAGTTTACACAGATGAGTCTGTCGTCGGACACGTGAAAAGCTCGTAGGCTTTTACTGCTCAGGTTTGAGTTGTGAAGCAGCATTCTGGTGCTGACGCCTTGACCACGGGTAGTCTAAGGAGGTAATGGCAGTGACTAAAGCAATAACTAGGCTGGAGACACAGATCTTTACCCGTGAATGCTTTCTCAGTGACTCAATGAGTATGCTTAGGAAGATGGAGACGGGCAGGGTCCAAAGACAGTGGTTGGTGTCTCTGAAGCGGTCACAGCTGAGAAAGATTAGTTGTATATTCGCGTCAGTGTATGCAGGTGTACACAAAATAAGCAAGATTTTATGCTTGCAAGTTAGGCTACTGTGGATGGTGGACGGGCCGTATACTTTGCTGATATGCTAAATGCTGTACGAGAAGTTAGATTGTCAGCCGAGTGACGACTGTGACCCATTTCATACCTTCCACCTTTACCGTTAACAACATTTCATATAAGCTTCCTGGCTGGTTGTGTGGTGTATTATTTTGCCGCGGCTAGTGTAAATACTCTGGCAGGCTCATAAACTTACGACACTGGTTACTTCTCTGCTACGTAGTTTTATTATCCACCGTTGTTCCGGGTCGTGCATGTGTTGTTGACAATAAAAGAGCTGATATATTGTCTGGCCTGCTATGGATTTTGAGAGATAGAGAGAGAGAGTTATAGAGGAAAGAGAGGGGAAGAGAGAGAAAGAGAGAAAGATAATGATGTGAATATTTTGAGGGCTTTTCGTCCACATCGCTACTAAGAATATAAGAATGGGGAGTAAAGATCGGCACAGCTAGGCACGAGTGGCACCAGGCTATGAAATGACTTCTCAACAACTCAGCCAGCACAGGACTGTTAGCCAACCTGGTGTATATGTTGCGGGGAGGGCTATTCTGAGTACCTATAGATGCTTCGGTAGTGCCGTGACCAAAACCCAACTGATAACTCACCGCATTAAAACTGTATGATGATATTTTAACTCCTTTATTCCAGCTGGCGGAGACGTATGAAAGCTCGGTAAATCTGGCCATCGCTCTTCTCGGAGGACAGGGAGATCTAGTCCGGAAGTGGATTCAAGAAGGTTGTGTGGGATTCAAATAAATTAACTTATACTGTCAACCTCGTTAACTTTAACACTTTTACCTGTCACGTTTGTAAGACATTAAGTATATAGCATAATTACACTGAACATTCTTGTGATAATCATAACTGTGTACACTCGCCAATTAGCATACAGCCATTATAATAATGAAACAGCGGCCATGTAGCAGTTAGACGCTCGCCTGTCGGCCCAAAGGTCTTGGCTTCAAATCAAGAGGCTGATTTGGTTTTCCTTTCAAAATTAACTTTGGCTTCCAGATGGGCCCAGCCTAAAATGATTAACCCGTCGGCATCATATTGACCACATCACCTATCGCGTACTGATATGTTTATTTTAAAAAATATAGGTCTCGCACCAATTGTCCGATGTTCCACTTATGAAAAGAGTCTTTAAACTATATATATATTTATGTGTGTGTGCGCGAGCGCGCGGCTGTTTCACTTTAAATTGTACACTTTTCAAACCATCTGGTCGTTTTTTAAATCAAACTGGACGATTTTCAAAGCACATAGGAGGTTTTTATTTTTTCAAATCAAACTGGACGATTTTCAAACCACTCAGGATGCTTTTCAAAGCAAACTGGACACAATTTGTTTTTAACAATTAATACTTCTTGACCAAGAACGTCCTAGATGGTTTGAAAAGCGTCCAGATTTGTTTGAAAAGTGTCCAGTTTAAAGTGAAAATGGTGAAAAAAAATGATGACCAAAAAAAAAAAATATATATATATATATATATATATATATATATATATATATATATATATATATATATATATATAGTCTAAGGGTTAAATGTGGTATCTCTTAATTTCCTCTGCGAAAGTGTATCATCTTAAATCGAATGCAAAATCACATAGTCCATTGTTTCACTGTACAGTGAAACCTCGGTTCTCGAACGACTCCCTTTTGGAACTACGGGATTTTAAAAAAAAAAATGTTTTTAAAGAGAACGGTATCCGTTTCCCAACAAGAACAGCAGTTTATGAACAGCCGGTTATGCACAGAGATATATATATATATATATATATATATATATATATATATATATATATAGAGAGAGAGAGAGAGAGAGAGAGAGAGAGAAAGAGAGAGAGAGAGAGAGAGAGAGAGCAAAGCGTGCTTTGCAAGATGTGATTAAAGAGACTGAACATCAGTCTTAATAGTGCTCTTGACAGAGCTCATCAACAAACATTACATCTCCCCCTGACACTTCGATGAGGTAAAAGGTGGAAGAGAAGAATAACAAGAACAAGAAGAAGAAGAAGATTAAAGGGACTTGGCTGATCCAGCTCATGGAAAAGAAGATCTTTTAAAACTTTAAAAATTATAGACCAGAACAATATTTCCAAGGTGTTTTAAAGTCACTTCTGGCACAGAGAATTCAAGAAAGGAAAAAAAAAAAACGACATAATCTTAATAGTGTAAACATCCTTGACAAAACGTTGGGGAAACAATTTATGACCTTGGCTCCCAGGTCGACCCAGCCTTGAGTGTGTACCAGGTACAGTCCTGAGAAGTAAAGGCTGCCGGCGTGATGCTGACCACATCGCTCACTAAGCGCCGTTTGGTCTATAAAAAGTACAGGTCTACCCTAATATACTCAGTACGTCTGAAGGTGTGGATAAAGGATCCTTTACTTTACTTTTGCAAAGATTTGTACAATTATATATATATATATATATATATATATATATATATATATATATAATATCTTATACTAAGATACCGCCCTGATTAGGGTTTTGTAATGAGAGTGCCATGTCGTACTTTAGAAAGATTTTGAAAAAACAGACAAAAAGAACTGTCTTTCATTTGGCAACATTTAGTAAGGAAGAGGTCTGGTCCGTTTTCAACAGAGTGGCGTAGTGTTGAGGGACAGAAAACTGACGAGAACAAAACATTACAGTTTCTTGGTGTTTTTAATGCATAGGCTTCATTTTACAGTAAATAAAGGTCTCTTAACTTACATATCTCATAAACTTTTACTTACATCAGTTTATCTTCCTACAGGTAAAAAGAAGTAATTAGAAATTCGTCGCTAATTCATCTACATGTTATATTCATTGTTATAGTAATAAGACATATTTTATTTGTTATTCAATACAGTTTTTCCCTGTGTGGGTTCCGGGGCCCTATTATAGGGAAAACAAGAATAGACCCACTGCCTACCCAAAAGCATGTCGTAAGAGTCGACTAATTGGGAGCTTCCTTCGAAGTCGGAGTGCATCTGCCCGAGAGGCAAGGAACCAGTAGTCTGCACACAAATGAGTCAGATCTGTAAAACGGATGCACACGCAACACTCAGGTTTTAAAACAGGACTGCAGTCTAGAAGTGGATGAACAACCAGAACTTTCTGTCAGAGTTTACAGCTGGTGACCGCGAAGAAGAAGAAGAATACAGTTTTAAACACAAAGTATTTTTAAATAAGTTCTAATATTTAAGCAAGTCAGGAGTAAGAAACTAATAAATCCTTTTACAATCATTCTTATGGGGAAAATTGTTTCGGTTTACAAACAACTGTTAAATATGAATTATGTTCTATGACTAAAGTTGCACTGTATTTCTTTGACTACCGTACAGAGAAATATGTCTGACAATAAACTGTGCGACCGTCTCATTTGATAAACTCGCAACATGAGAACATGGTTTTAAATATAAACGGTTGTTACGTTGTAACATGACGTGGTTATGTGATGCGGAAACAATCCTTTAGAAGAAATAATGTTTGTCGTTGACACAAAAATAAGCCAGGTATTACTTGAAGACATATTAAGTAAAGAAGCCATTAACAAACTAGGAGTACATGGAGAGTTACTGAACAAGGCTTGAGTAAAAAAAAAATATTTTGAGCACATAGTAATATTTTAAAACATTTTTAAAAAGCAAACGCCGAGTAATATAAAAAAAATTCATCATCATCATAAACCACTTCTGCCGTTAAGCGACATGAGGAGGAATAATTTGCGATCCAGTGCACGTTGGCTGCCACTGGCTATTGTCATGCCGTGAAGGCGTACAGTGTCTTTAATGTTGTCGATCCATGTTTTCCGTGGCTGTCCTCTTGCTCTTGTAGTTGATCTTCTGAGATGTAGTGCTTGTGATGGTATTTGATCTTGCTGCATTCTAACGAGATGGCCAAACCACTTGATCTGCTGTTTCTCGATGAATCTAGTACAAGGTGTCGTTCCCACAATTTGCCTGATAGTTTCATTATTCACTCGATCTCGTATGGTTAGGTTGGCTGCTTTTCTCAGGCACCTCATCTCGCAGGTGGTAATTTTGCGTATATGGGCTTTAGATAGTGTCCATGTTTGGCACTGGTAGCTTAATGTTGGTATGAATATGCTATTAATAATCTGTTAATAATTAGCAAAGTAATAAATAGTGAGGTAGCGACAAAGATAATATAATAAACAGTAAGGTAACTTCATCAAAATGTATATGTGAGAGAGAGAGAGTGTGTGTGTGTGTGAGAGAGAGAGAGAGAGTGAGAGAGATATATAGTGTGTGTGAGAGAGAGAGTGAGAGAGAGAGTTTGCTGACATTGCTTATGATCTGTCCCAGGACTGTTGATCAACTACGACGTGAATATAACCGACCACTCATATCAGTTTCGTTACCCCGACTATCCAGAAGTTCCTCAGTGTTTGCTAGAGGCCACCTGGGCCACCAACTGTTACAGTGCCGTAGATGCCCTGATGGATCTTCAAGTGAATCCGTGCGTGCTTTGTCCATGTGCTGAAAACGCAACCCCTTTGCCAGCTGTCTTCCAAGTAAGCTATTAACTATATGTAAATTTAAATACTGACCTTTTGAGGTTGCAATGACGCAAGTATGACGGCGTTTCTCATAAATTGAAATTTTGACTCTCTCTCTCTCTCTCTCTCTCTCTCTCTCTCTCTCTCTCTCTTTCGCTTTCTTACGTTCTTTCGTTCTGTCTCTTTGTCCTCTTTCCCTCCTTCCCCCCCCCCACCTTCTATATCTCTTTTACTGCCCCACATTCTTTCTTTGTCTCTTTCTCCTTTTCTCTTTTTCAGACAAGCGTAAAAAAGAAAATTACCTAACATCGCAGAATTGACAGGCTTCAGTCATTGTTGAACTGGAGCATTTCTTATGGACCATATGGTCGTGCCTAGTGATCACACTTAAGCAGGGAAAATCGGCGCCTAAAAACCACCGCAGCAACGAAGATGAAAATATCCAGCAATGCTAGAAATAATGTTCTGAAAAAGCTCATATAATAGTAGATACTGTCACGTGAATGCGGGGGGAAGGAAGCTAGCTACCTAGACCAAAGTTCCGTTCGGCTCCTTTGTATCCCCTCCGGGCTGCTACGTTAAAGTTTGGCACCTTAAGATTACAAAATCTCAAAAAGGATGGGCAGACCAACAAGGCACAGCCCAGAAACATCGTTCAACCCCCAGAAAACAAAGAAGTTAGAATGGAGGCACTCGTAACGGCTTCATGTTTGTTATTCAACCATCACGAGTGATGGCGACGACTCTTTCTTTCATCCGTCATGAAGCTTTAGTTGATTGTCTGTGAGTCCGGGATAACTTAAACGCCCAAGAACGGCCCGAGAAGGATTTAAGATAATGTGGGCTGGGAACAGTAACAGCTACAGCAGCCTGTGTACACCGGTGAAAGATGTGGGGATTCAGAGCTGAATACTTCACGTCTTACATCATCAAGTTCCTTGCCAGCTTGCGCAGGCGTTCATGCATCTCCTCATATCTCGGTACGCTTTACATAGAATACATAAAAAATAATAATGTATAAAAATAACAAGGGTCATATTTAAAAAAAAAAAAAAAACACGAGGAATACATTTACACGTACTGAATAATACTCAGAGGTAAAAAAAAAAAAAAAGTAGAGGTTGTGTGACAGACGAAAATTGAGAGATTGAGACAAAATCTAGTCAGTACTAAATCGATTTTCGTGTGTTCCTTCAGTGGGCCGCTTAAGTCATTTAGAGACAGCAAATTCTAATGCTGCTCTGCTCTTCCACTTCGTATATTTCGAATTGTGTGTATGATTTATACTTTATTTCTTTTACTTTTATGAGTGCCCATCAATACTTGCGAATTTATTTCACCACATCTCTGAACCAGCAATAGTAAGTCCCTACATTACTCTTCTGGGCGAAGGGAAAGATGGGTGGGGGGGGGGGGGGGAGCCGCAGTGAAGGCTTTCTGGGATCAAGTAAACATTGAAGCAGGACATACATAGCCTCTATTATCTGAGAGAATAGTACTTTTACTATGGTGACTCTTTGCTGGCTACTGAGAAGGGGCGGAGCACGTATGGGAATGTTCCGAGTGCAGTAATTTACATTTTTGATCGATTCTTCTTTTTAATCATACCAGAGGAGTATCGACTGTCTGCATTGCTGGTCAGTGCTAGCACGATACGAATCGTAAGAGGGAAGAAAACCTACAAGAGCCAGTGGCTGAAGAAGTGCTAACACAACTCAAACAGTTGATGCCAAATAAGTTGAAATTTCTAATTACTGGCTAATTATCGCAATTCACCACACAGAGAATAACGTGGTCTGAGTTTATTCTTATGCGTTTCAGTTATTTAGTGGGGGTGGGGGGGGGAGGTGTAGATCCACTACACAATAAGGCTGAAATGTCGAATTACTAGCTAATTATCGCAATTCACCACACAGAGAATAACGTGGTCTGAGTTTATTCTTATTCGTTTCAGTTATTTTTTTTTTGGGGGGGGGGGGGGTGTGGGGGTAGATCCACTACCCAGTGACAAGCATGTTGTAGAAGGCAACTAACTAATTAAGGATTTATTTCTATCAGAAAGGTGCAGATATCACAAGCTGGCTGTAAGCCACAACACTATGTTCCAGCCGCCCCTTTACGGGCTAAATTTATTCCCATGTTAAAATATTAATTAGTATTTTAAATGATGTTTTCCCTCATTAGATTTGGTTTTGAAATATATATATGATACGTTAATTATATTTGTCTGCAGCTCTTCAGTGGCCCATCCAGACCCAAAGATCTGAGAATAATTCATCGAATCTTGCAACATACCGACGTCTCCGTGAAGAACTATTTAGGTCAAACCCTTCTGTTTCAATCAGTATCCAGCGAGGAATCATGTGATACTGTAGACTTTTTACTTCGGCAAGGTGTCAGTATTAGTGCTAGGGACAAACTGGGTAGGACCGCTAGAGATTTTGCACAAACATTAGGGCGCAAAAAATATATTCAGGCCATTGATGGCCATGTAATCAAGTTGATAAAAGTTAATAACTTCTCGCAAATAGAAGAACTCGTGTTGGGAAATTATGATCATATAGACGATATTACAGATCGTGTAGGGAGGCCTGCCATCAAAATCGCCAAGAATGCATCCAGCAAGCAGGTGTATGAGCTTGTTCAACTTAGGAGTGCTATACAGGTAATGTCACACAATTATTAGCAACGGTTATGCTCTGAACTTGGGTCTTTTGATAATACTTAAAATTTATAGAGGTAACCAGGTTAGGCCTGATTTAATTATATGTGCTGTGTACCGTATAATAATTTAATGACATTCAAGGTATTTTAGTAACAGACTGTGAAGAGAAGAGAGAGAGAGAGAGAGAGAGAGAGAGAGAGAGAACTTGAAAGCATAATACTGAGATAATTCTCTGTCAGGGGAATGTTTGTTACCGTGCGATCAGCCTCTAAAACGGACCTGCTTCAATATATGTAAGTTTCCCCCCCCCCCTCCCATTTCCCACTTTCCCTGATGCGGAATACAGAGTCCGCTAAATTATTTTAATGGGTCTGAAATCATTAAGATATGGCGTGAGGTAGGGGTCGGGGGACAAATAACAATCGGCCCTTTTGTTTTAGATGCAAACGTATTTCAGAACTCACAAACATTTGATCGTTTAAAAATTAGTAGTACTGACAAACCAGCCACTGAGGCTACATAAAAAGAACATCATGGTCTGAAGGTAAATAGTGCAGCAGGAAGTGACCACGGTACCGTCCTGACACTCGCCACTTAGGGAAAAGGCAAGACAGGCATAGTCAGAGTGCTGCTGGTACCATTGGAATTGAAATTCTGTGCTTGCTGCTGAACATGGAGATGAAGCACTTTTGGAAATGTCCGGAGTGTTGTGATATCGATTCTTAAACGTCGTTTAACTCAACGCACAACCAGCCGCTTATAAACCCCAGTAGCTATTCATCCACCAACAACAAAAATCACAACGTTTTTTTTTTTTTTATTGATACAACTTAATATTTGTGTAGTTCTGCATTCATGTTTTCTTTGTATTCACGATGAGCATGTCAGAAGTTGATGTTGGTTGTCTGATCAGTTCCATCTCTCTCTCTATCTCTCTCTCTCTCTCTCTCTTTCTTTCTTTCTTTCTTTCTTTCTTTCTTTCTTTCTTTCTTTCTTTCTTTCTTTCTTTCTTTCTTTCTTTCTTTCTTTCTTTCTTTCTTTCTTTCCTTCTTTCTTTCTTTCTTTCTTTCTTTCTTTCTTTCTTTCTTTCTTTCTCTCTCTACCTCTCTCTCACTCTCTCTCTCTCACTCACTCACTCTGTCGGTCATATGAATTGTACTTGATGTTTACAGGTTTGATGAGTGTCCAATCAGCCACATTCTGCATCCAGGTATTTCTCAATATGCCTCTTCCCCTCTACAGAGCCCTGTGGTAACATTTATCATGATAATCATTATTTCAATACTTGCATATCCCTTAGAGGACATTGCCCACAAACCGATAATTATTATGCTACGTTGGAAATATTAAAATGTTAAGTCCGTCTCGCTTCTCAGCAGGGCCGCCACTTGTTAAGACTGTTTCAGAAATGCAAATGTAGCAATGACTCTCTGTAATATGTTTTCATTATCATTTAGTTCTATGGCTCGATGATTTTTTTTGTATTGTTTTTGCTTCCAGAGTTTCGTAAAACGAGTATTTCGAGCTGTAGATGAGGGCTGTTATGAAGAAGTGGGCAAGCTACTAACATGCAAGAAATACGCAGCTGGTAGAGATCTATGTGGGCGGACACCGCTGTTGAAGGCGGTACTTCAAGGGCGCAGAAGTCTTGTTACGAAACTTGTCAGTGACTGCCAGTTTACAATTAACATGCAAGACAATGTGAGTTGTTACTGCCTTCTAAAAATACTAAAACATAATCTTAGAAATAATTTCATCCAAATGACAATTACTGCCTTTAATTTACCAATTTTGCGGTGTAGGCAGGGTTTGAGGATTTACGGCCTTATGGCTAGTGCTGTCGCCACGACTGTGCAGGTGAGGATTTTATTTGACCCCTGACAGAAAAAAATCCCCAGTCTTACCGCAGATTCGAACTTGGGTCTCCCGCTTGAGAGCACTGCGTCCAACCCGTTCGGCCAGCCGCTTCTCAATAGTTTCGTCAGCATTCATAATTTCAAAGCCTCCATCCATTTTGTCACACTCCAACCAGTAGGTTACTTCTTCCTGCCTGACGTAATGTCTTCAGTGTTTAATCCTAAACTCTGGCACAGTTACTCAATTTCCCTAACAGTTTCTTCAGTTGTGTCGATAGGTTCAGGAAAGAGACTGTTCCATAAATTTTTTTAGACTATGACGAGACGGAAAGCAGTTAGTGATGGTTAATCGAACTTTTACTGAGATCAAGGAGGTCTCCGTGGCCACGAGTTCAAGCTGTTTGCCTCGCGATCTGAAGGTCGTGGGTTCTTTTCACGACAGCGTCATTATGTTTACCAGTGCAATTTTTAGGGAGATCCATGGAGATCGTCGCCTCAGCTACGTTGTTTGTTCTGTGTGTGACGCTCCCGGCAGGCGGCTATCTGTTCCGCTGAGAGAGATAGCGCAATGACGTTCATTCTTTTACCTCAAACTTTAAACATTACTTTTTGAGGACAGAATGACATGTAAAACAGTAATTCAACACTAGGGGTGTACATATTGGAAACGTCAATGACGCAAAGAGTATTTTAACTTAACTGACTACAGTTAAAACTCACAACATATGACAACACCTGTCTTGTATTCCAGCTAGGCAGGTCAGTTCTGCATTATGCGACTCTATTCATTGATGACCCGGATATGCTACAGCTGCTTCGAAATCACGGTGCCAACCCAGCCTTGACCGATGTGGTAAGTAAATTGATAAATATGGCACACGCCAATTAGTGACTTGTTGATTAGTGGCATTCCCTGTTGAGGCGAAAAATCTAAGGAAAGTGCAGTTTGAAAAAGTTAATGAATTCATTAGAAGTAGGGTGATGTTGTAGCTAGTATGGATATTTCAGGGGCCTGGTAGCTATATTATAATAAAAATGTAGTTTCAAAAAATTATTATTTAAAATACTTTTGAAGTCCAAAGTTTATTTTATTTTGTGCACAACCATATAACCATGGTGTCAGTCAAGGGACATTAAGTGAGTACATACCAGTTCTCGCTAGGAAGTTCAAGGCAGGTTGTGTGGTAACAGTCACATTAGATCAAGCATCATTCGTTAAAAAAGATGCGGACCTACTACTATATCCCCGATGTATTACATTACATGGAGTGTGCATCTTAATTTTGTTTTCAATTTATTAATATAAGATATTTTACAAGTGTCAATCAGGTTTTGACATAATTCAAAGAACATAAGAGGAATATAACCAGCTGTGAAACAAGAAGTTACAAAGTTGGTTAGTTGCGTATTCTTTAAAGGACGCAGTAGAACCAACCCCAGCATTTTTTAGCTGTTGTGGTTTCAATAGGAAAATTTTGCATTCAGTAGTTTGCCATTGCCCCTAAACAGTCAGCTCTACATGCCATTGTCGAAACCAACGTAGAATCAAACCCGGCACCTCAGCATTACGGAGCCCTTGAGATGTTAGTCCTACAGAATGCAAATCTGCAAAAGAAAGTGGGGATAACTCTAAAAAAAAACAATACAGATTCCTCTTTAAACGCATGTATGCTAATCTTCTGCAGCTGGGGCGTACTTACAAGGACTATGGTCTATGTGGTGCTATGGAGTATCAAAGACTGCAGAGAGAAATCCAAGATGCAGACCTGGACATCTACACATTCAGGACGAATTTTGAAACATCTTTCAGGGAAGCTTTGCAGGTATGCAGATGTTACTCCATTACTGGGAGAGGAGGCACGGCGGGGGGGAGCTCCTTTGCCACATGGTTAAGTCATGGCATGGTTGACACATGGTTAAGTCACGGCATGGTTGCCACATGGTTAAGTCATGACATGGTTGCCACATGGTTAAGTCACGGCATGGTTGACACATGGTTAAGCCATGGCATGGTTGCCACATGGTTAAGTCACGGCATGGTTGCCACATGGTTAAGCCACGACATGGTTGCCACATGGTTAAGTCATGGCATGGTTGCCACATGGTTAAGTCACGGCATGGTTGCCACATGGTTAAGCCACGACATGGTTGCCACATGGTTAAGTCATGGCATGGTTGCCACATGGTTAAGTCATGGCATGGTTGCCACATGGTTAAGTCACGGCATGGTTGACACATGGTTAAGTCATGGCATGGTTGCCACATGGTTAAGTCATGGCATGGTTGCCACATGGTTAAGTCACGGCATGGTTGACACATGGTTAAGTCATGGCATGGTTGACACATGGTTAAGTCATGGCATGGTTGCCACATGGTTAAGTCACGGCATGTTTGACACATGGTTAAGTCATGGCATGGTTGCCACATGGTTAAGTCACGGCATGGTTGACACATGGTTAAGTCATGGCATGGTTGCCACATGGTTAAGCCATGGCATGGTTGCCACATGGTTAAGCCAACGGCATGGTTGACACATTGTTAAGCCACGGCATGGTTGCCACGTGATTAAGACATGGCATGGTTGCAACATGGTTAAGCCATGGCATGTTTGACACATGGTTAAGACATGGCATGGTTGCCACATGGTAAAGCCATTGCATGGTTGACACATGGTTAAGACATGGCATGGTTGACACATGGTTAAGCCACGACATGGTTGACACATGGTTAAGACATGGCATGGTTGACACATGGTTAAACCATGGCATGGTTGCCACATGGTTAAGCCATGGCATGGTTGCCACATGGTTAAGCCAACGGCATGGTTGACACATTGTTAAGCCACGGCATGGTTGCCACGTGATTAAGACATGGCATGGTTGCAACATGGTTAAGCCATGGCATGTTTGACACATGGTTAAGACATGGCATGGTTGCCACATGGTAAAGCCATTGCATGGTTGACACATGGTTAAGACATGGCATGGTTGACACATGGTTAAGCCACGACATGGTTGACACATGGTTAAGACATGGCATGGTTGACACATGGTTAAACCACGGCATGGTTGCCACATGGTTAAGCCACGACATGGTTGACACATGGTTAAACCACGGCATGGTTGCCACATGGTTAAGCCACGACATGGTTGACACATGGTTAAGCCACGGCATGGTTGACACATGGTTAAGCCACGACATGGTTGACACATGGTTAAGCCACGACATGGTTGACACATGGTTAAGACATGGCATGGTTGACACATGGTTAAGCCATGGCATGGTTGCCACATGGTTAAGCCATGGCATGGTTGCCACATGGTTAAGCCACGACATGGTTGCCACATGGTTAAGACATGGCATGGTTGACACATGGTTAAAGCACGGCATGGTTGCCACCTGGTTAAGCCACGACATGGTTGACACATGGTTAAACCACGGCATGGTTGCCATATGGTTAAGCCACGACATGGTTGACACATGGTTAAGCCACGGCATGGTTGACACATGGTTAAGCCACGACATGGTTGACACATGGTTAAGCCACGACATGGTTGACACATGGTTAAGACATGGCATGGTTGCCACGTGGTTAAGCCATGGCATGGTTGCCACATGGTTAAGCCATGGCATGGTTGCCACATGGTTAAGCCACGACATGGTTGACAGATGGTTAAGACATGGCATGGTTGCCACGTGGTTAAGCCATGGCATGGTTGACACATGGTTAAGCCACGGCATGGTTGACACATTGTTAAGCTATGGCATGGTTGACACATGGTTAAGCCACGGCATGGTTGCCACATGGTTAAGCCAACGGCTTCTCCAGATTAAAGGCCTAGCTGCAGATTCCATCAGCTGGAGTGCGCCGTCTAACACGCATGTGTACTTCCGGCAGTTAAGATTTGGCAATGATTAGTTGAACTGCTAGTTTTTAGGTGTGTAGTTCCCTCAATTTTTATTTTTGTATTGTTTTAAATACGCCGTTGTGAGGATTTACGTTTTATTAAATATACCTTTAAAATGTTTTGTACCTGAGTGTCGCTCGAAATATGATCCTCCCAGTAGATATAATGTGTGCGTTTAAATTTTCTTAGGACAGAAAGATGGCTAAAAATGTGTAGTAAAGAATAATTAGACACCTGGGAAAACCAGTGGAGTATGTGTGAAACATTTTCTTACGTTTGATTTTACTGCCTCTGATAAAAACGTGTATCGCATATTAGTGGTATTTATGATAACAAAATAAAAGTGAGATTTTCAAGATCTAGAGTCACAGAAATAACAGAACTAAAAGCTGGCTAAGTTTACTCACTAATTATCAGAAAATTAAATTACTGTATTCTTTAGGTGAAAGGCTTAGTGGTAACTTTCCTGTATCCACAGATCTGGATACTGGGACACTTGAAATATGTGTGGATAATATTCTAATAGTTTATGTGGATTCGGTGGATATTCACCAGTTAGAATCTAAATAGTTTATGTTGTACTTTCGGTTGTAGTTTCTGTTTCTCATTTGTTCAAACTAAGGCCCTTGTTGTTACTTTTGTCCATAATTTCTATATGGAGTGAACACAATATGTTAGACTGGAAACGGGACATCCCTCTAATAGCAGAAGACTGCTAATATACGGGGTGGACAAGAAGAATAATGCTAATATACTGGCTGGACAAGAAAAACATTGCTAATATACTGAGTGGACAAGAGGAATATTGCGGATATCCTGGGTGGACAAGACGAATACTGTGGATATCCTGGGTGGACATAGATAATATTGCGAATATCCTGGGTGGAAAAGAAGAATATTGCTAATATACTGGGTGGACAGGAAGAATAATGCTAATATACTGAGTCGACAAGGATAATATTGCTAATATACTGGATGGAAAGGAATAATATACTGGGTGGACAGGAAGAATAATGCTAATATACTGGGTGGACAAAGATAATATTGCTCATATACTGGATGGAAAAGAATAAGAGTGCTAATATACTGGGTGGACAAGAAAAATATTGCACATATACTGGGTGGACAAGGCGTTGGAGAAGGTGTTGGTTAAGCCGTTTAGCCTCGCATTTCTAAAGGTTGTGGGTTCAGTTTTGGATTTCGTCTTCCGTTTGCGAGTGCGGGGTTTCGGAAATCCTGGATTTGTTGTTGGAAATATGGAGTTCGTGCTTTAGGCAACACTGCCATGTTGACTGGCCGCTTTGCTGAGAGAGAGAGAGAGGGAGAGAGAGAGAGAGGAGAGAGAGAGAGAGAGAGAGAGAGAACCTAATCTATACGAGATAAATATTTGGACAATGAAGTCAGTCGTCTCACCTTTAAACATCATTTTCATTTTACTGCCCCTGTGTTTCTGAAATGCGTGGATTGAAAATTAAGATAAAAGCAGTTACTAAAACATTATAATTGGCACGTTTGTCAGTCGACCTTAGGTCAGAGGTTCCAGTCCTCTTCTGACGGGGATTTTAAATGTAATTTTAACGGTCGATCCAGAACACACTGAACAAAAAAGAAGTAAGTAAAAGTAAAGGAACTTTTTCCACGCCTTCGGGCGTATTGGGCATGAAGATTTAAACCTATATTTTATAGACCAGTTGGCACTCGGTGGGGAATGTAGTCAACATCACACTGGCCGCCTTTACGTCCCTTAACTCTACCTGGTACCTAGTTAAGGCTGGCAGGTTCTTTGCAGAACGTCGTTGCCATCATGGCTACCTCTTCAAGTTCCCTTTCCATTGCTAATTCCCCTTTGTTATGTATTTTCTTGCATAAGGTGACGTAATGCCAGGTGTCCATTTCAATGTGGTCAACCCCTGTCTTTTCTCCCAGGAACGACGCCTTATTAGAAAGGAGTAAGACACTTAAGTACTAGATGATCTGTTGCCTAAGTAGTCGCTCGGCTTATCGTCATCATGATCATGTACCTTGCCGGTAAGCGCAAGCTGTAGTGTTTCGCTATTTCACACCATCACCAGAATCACGGAGCAGTTCAACGGTTTTGCTCGCTCCGTTTATGCTCTTCTCTTTATGCTCCTACCAACGTTCTACAGTTTATTGTGGTGGAAGTTCTTTAGTTTCTGAGAAATAATACTATATGTGGGCCTTTAGTTTCGCATTTAGATCTTAAGCTTGATGCACTGACTGAATTTCGGAATTGGAACTCTTCGCTTGCTGCTGAAGATAGGGACGGAGCGCTTATAGTAGTGTCTCGAGTGCTGCGATGTCCATTCCTAATACAACATTGAACATTCAATTCCCTGACTGTTACAATTATAATTCATCAATAGGCAGCCAATCTGGACATGGTGAAGCAACTGATAACAGGTTTGGCAGAGAACGGAGATGTCAACAAGTACAGTCACCTGTTATTTGAGTGTGTCGATCTGTGTAGAGAGGACATCGCCATCTACATGATTCTTGCAGGTTTTAGAGTGGATATTTGGAAATCGGTAAGCCATATCATTAATGCTCTCTGTTGCTCCTCATTTTTTTGAAACCACGTCAGTGGGCAGTGAATGACCGGGTGTCAAAATATTGCGTGCTAGGGAATATGGAGGGGGGAAAAAGGGGGTGGGGTGTCAGCACAACCATATGACACAGGAACACGAGGGGCGGCAGCCGAACTAACTTTATTTTTTAAACCTATAAATTCGGTTCACAGGCTCGTCTTACATTCCGCCAAACACCCATCTTTCACACAGCAATTGTATAACTGCACAACTATAGGACACAAGAACACAATGGGTGGGAGCCGCACAACTATAGGATACAGGAACACAAGGGGTGGGAGCCTCACAACTATAGCAAACAAGAACACATGGGGGGATGGAGGGGGGGGGAGCCGCAGAACTATAGGACACATGAACACAAGTGGCGGGAGCAGCACAACTATAGTCTACAGGAACACAAGGGGTTGGAGCCGCACAACTATAGGACACAAGAACACGTGGGACGGGAGCCGCACAACTTTAGGACATATGAACACAAGGGGCGGGAGCCACACAACTATAGGACTCATGAATACAAGGGGTAGAAGCCGCACAACTTTAGGACATATGAACACAAGGGGCGGGAGCCACACAACTATAGGACTCATGAATACAAGGGGCGAGAGCCGCACAACAATAGTCTACGTGAACACAGGGGGCGAGAGCCGCATAACTATAGGACAAATGAACACAAGGGGTGGGAGCCGCACAACTATAGTCTACATGAACACAAGGGGTGGGAGCCGCACAACTATAGGACAAATGAACACACGGGGTGGGAGCAGCACAACTATAGTACACAAGAACACAAAGGGCGGGTGCCGAACAAGGTTAGTCTACAGGAACACAAGGGGCGGGGGCCGCACAACTATAGGACACATGAACACAAGGGGAGGGGGAGCCGCACAGATATAGGACACAGGAACACAGGGTGCGGGAGCAGCATACTATAGGAGACAAGAACACAAGGGGCGGGAGCAGCATACTATAGGAGACAAGAACACAAGGGGCGGGAGCAGCATACTATAGGAGACAAGAACACAAGGGGCGGGAGCAGCATACTATATGAGACAAGAACACAAGGGGCGGGAGCAGCATACTATAGGAGACAAGAACACAAGGCTGGAGCCGCAACACTATAGAACACTGGAACACAAGTGGCGGGAGCCGCACAACTATAGGACTAATGAAGAAATGGGATGGGTTGTAATAACCACAAGACAGTTAGGGTTAACTACATTTATAAGTAATAATATTAGCGAAAGGACACTTTTTCACCCCTTCAGACGTATTATTCATAAAGGGCTAGACTAATATTTTACAGACCAATCGGTATTTCTTGGGTGATATAGTCAACATCACGCCGACCGCCTTCACTTCCCATGACTTAAACTGGTACCCTTTTTTTAAAGCTGAGTTAACTGAAAGCCAGTTTTTTTTTTTTTTACAAAGGTCCGGCGCTCCGTCAGTACCTGAACCCACGACATTCAGATCCGCAGGCGATCGTCTAGCCGCTATATACCACGCCAGCTCCCAATAATTTTAGTACCTATATTATTTCCAAGCTTCTAGTCTGTCTTCGTAGTGCCTGAACTGCCGGGTTCGATCTCAGCTGTGGACGATTTGTCTGGCGCTGATTTCGACAATGGTACCGAGAGCTGACCGTTTAGGAGCAATGGCAATCTTCTAAACGTAAAATTTGCCAAGAAAAATCACACCAGACAATAAATGCTAGAGTTGGTCCTGCAACGCCCTGTAAAAGATACCCAATTAAATAATTTATAGTTAAAATTGTTACGATATTATCAGGTGTTTAAGGGACCAGCTTTATCTGGCAATCTGGAAAAAAAAATGTAAATTTGCAATTGTCAGTGGGTGTAAAGTTGTGTTTAATGTAATTATGTCCCCTCTCTTCTCCCTCGCCCGTTTTTCCGTGACTGTAGTATAATATAAGATGTCATACACAGTAGTGTATTTTGTTTTATTTCTTCTGCCTGTCTGCCAGCCATTGGCTAATCGGGCATATGACGCCAGACTTTTTTTGTTTTGTTTTGTAGACCAATTGGCATTTATCTGTTCCTCAACACGCCGGTCAACTTTACTTCCCAAGAATTTACCTGGTAACTAGTATAGGCTGTGTCGACGTGGGAGCCATAGTCATTTTGAGGGGGAAGATGGCTGACTATAAACGAATTTAAGCCTAAGAGCTTCGGCTGCAGGCAGGCAAGAGTCCAGTCGCTTCGCCTTTGTTAATCCTTCATGTAGCGATTAATAACCTATTAACGTTCATGTTAGCATGCTATACTTTTATAATCAACAGTACTCCAGATCTGAAGCCAGCATTAATACATCGTCTGCAAAGACAGACTACGAGCCTTACTGGATCAGCCTCAAACAGAGAGCTACGGAAACCGGATGCAGCAGAGTTGTGAAATTGATTACCCAATAAACACAAACTTCGAACACTAAATTTGTTAAACATTGACAAATATTTAAAGATTAACATTATTTGTAACAGCAATTTGTATTTTAGTTCGTGCTCTTTGCTATATTCTATTTACTTTAGTTTACAAATTTACAGACGAACTTGATTCAACTGTATGATATCTATTTTATCTATTCCTATTTTACTTTGTCTTTTACAATCTAGACATTGTTTTAATATTACCAACGAATAAAAATTGAGATGCTTGATGAAATCTAATGACAACTTTGGTAGTCAAATTTTTCTTTTGAGTTAATTTGAAGACCGAGGACATTACAGTAGTGGGGGCATTCTAATAAGCATTCTGTCCCCATCTTCAGCAGCCAACGCAGAGTTTCAGTACCAGTGGTGCCAGTAACAGTCTGATTATATGTCCGTCTTGCCTTTCCTCTGAGCAACAACGAGGAAAATATTACGTGAAATCGTTACCTGCTAACGCTCACACATGCGAATTGATCACGTATCGCCACTGAAGTGACCTAACCTTTTCAAAATAGCAACCATGTAAAGTAAGGAAAAAGAATTGCAGCATTAAGTTTCACGTCATCAACAGCATCATCAAATTCCACTTTTGCCATTGAACATCGTGGTAAGGAAAAGTATGCGGCTCAGCATTGGAACAACGACACCGGCCATAATTATGACCAACCTTCTAATATCTTTAATTTATTTTTCTACACTCTTGCTCTCGCATAAAATATTGTAAAGATTAGCGCCTGTGTTAGTAAGTACATTAGTTTCATTCTATTGAAACGACTAACCCATTTATTCTTCTACCTCTCAGTGTGTTTGTACAAGTCGTTGATCTCACAGTTATAAAACATTTTTATATTTCATGACGAAAACAAAGGCCGCAGCTGAGCTTCTTCTTCTTCTTCTCGTTCACCAGCTGTACACTCTGGCGGAAAGTTCTAGTTGCTCGTCCACTACTGAACTGTAGTCCTGATCCAGAACTTGAGTGTTGCGTGTGCATCAGTTTTACAGATCTCATTCTCTTGAATGCAGACTGTTGGTTCCTTGTCTCTCCAGCAGATGCACTCCGACTTTAAAGGAAGCTCCCCAATTAGTCGACTCTTACGACATGCTTTTGGGGAGGCAGTGGGTCTATTCTTGTTTTCCCCCACAATGGGGCCCCGGAACCCACACGGGGGTCAGCTGAGCTGATATTCTGAAATAATTTAAAACAGCCTAGAATAATAAACAATCTGAGATATGCTGACGACACAGTGTTGTTAACAGAGAGTGAGCAGGAGTTACAAGACCTAGTGGAGCAAGTAAACAGAAGGAGTGCAGAATTTGGATTAGATCTTAATTTGAAAAAGACAAAAACCATGATATTTTGCAAAGAAAATAATCAGCTAACAATGAATATCACAGTGAACGGGGTGAAATTGGAACAAGTTAAAAATGTCTTATATCTTGGACAACTAATAACATGTGACGGCACAGGTGAAACAGAAATCAAGAAAAGAATATGGATGGCTAAAAACATTTTCAACAACATGCAGAAGTTACTGACATCAAGAGAAATAAGCAATACATTAAAAATAAGAATTGTCAAATGTTATGCATTCTCAACCTTACTGTATGGCACAGAGACATGGAAAATGAACAAACTACTGGAAAATCGTATCAATTCTTTGGAGACGTGGATATACAGAAGATTAGGTCGTATTTCATGGAAACAAAAGCTATCAAATACAGAGGTACTGAGGAAATTGGGAATGAAAAGAGAGTTGCTAGGTGAAATAAAAAAGAGACAAGTGAAATATTTTTGTCACATTAAAAGACATAACAGTATTGTAAAGATCATCCTAGAGGGAAAGGTTCAAGGTAGGCGAGCAAGAGGCAGACAGCGTTACAAGTGGGAGGATAACATCAAGAGATGGACGAACAGCAGTATGAGTGAGTGTACATCAAGGGCAGGAGACAGGGCTTGTTGGAAATCCATTGCAGCCAACCTTGATTGTGGAGACAGCACCTGATTGATTGAAACTTTGACTAGAAAGTTGAGCTTTCTCATCTTAGCCTGTGTTGTGTTAAAGTATTTAATTTTTTACAAGTTTAAAAATGTTGCCTACTATTTTTTAAAAGAACATTTACCTTTGACAAAAAATATTTTCCCACTGCTTATAGAATACTCAATTCGTGAAATCACATGTACTTTGACTCACTGTTTTATTTGTTTTCTGTACACAGTCAGTTTTGTAATGTATTACATATTCTCAGGTCTAAGGTTAAATAATTATATTTCTAATTTATTGCTCTAATATGTTGTTGCAGTGTTTTTAGTTTTGTTTTGATGTCATTTTTGTTAGCGAACGTTGTTGAATCAGACTTATACAACTAAAATCAAAACAGGTTAATAAACATATCAACAATCTCAGTTTTGATACTGGAAGTTAGGTAAAGAAGGCTAAGTGAACTATTATACGCAACAGGTTTTACTAGATAACAGCAACATTTTCGCAGTTTACATTTCAGCCTAGTTTTATAGAGGTCATACCATACATGAACTTTTGATGGTGGGGGGAGGGCGGTTACTCACTCACTATTTACAAAATTACAACAGGAGGTGGGTGGGGAAAATGCTGTTTTTTTTTTTTTTTTTAAGTAAATGAATCATTCGCATGGAAACTGTATTCTGTGAATTTGATATTAAGTTAAATTTTTGTTTATGATTTCATTTGAGTCTTGAGCTATTGAATCGAAAAAAAATTACGATAAAAATGCATATAAGGTACATACATAGTTTGATGCATGAAAAGCATCGGATAGGAATGTATAGAAATATAGGAAAGTACACAATACGACACATACATACATATTGTATTTCTTATGGAGAGGAGGGCGGGGGGGGGGGGGGGGGTAATCGCTCAGTTACTCTGTTTCATTAGCAGCCATAAAAAGAATTCGCTCATGTCATTAGGAACTGGTGGCTAAGGGGTCATGACCTTTGCCTTGTCTTACCTTGCCTTCCTAACCTGCAATTCGTAGCGACAGCACTAGCCATGCCGTTCTAAATTCTCAAGCCCACGACTGCCCTTTCAGCTTAACCATTAAAAGTAGTGAATGCAGACAGTCATGACAGTGTGTGTGTGTTTGTTTTTCAACAGTTTGTATCATTTGTGTCATTCGGTTCACGGGTAGAGTTTTTGCAGGGGCCCTGGTGTTGTTGCTGGAGCTAATGAGTTCGGATTTTGTGTGACGATCTCATCAGAGGGTTAGAAGTTCTATGGAGAGAAATTTAGCCATGTGGGATAAATGTCAGTGCAATGACTCCCTCTTGAAAACAGAATTAAAACGTGGTTGTGAATCCTAGGTTATTAGTAACGAACAGCCAAGGTGTTTCCGATACCGATAATCATCGCATCTGTCTGTTGGTTTGTCTGTCTGTTTAATTGTCTGCTGTTTGTCTGTCTGTTGGACCCTAATATTCAAGCTATTTCTCTTGCTGTAACCACGTGTCTACTGCCCATCGCGACTCAGTACGCAGATTTGTGTACTGTTCAAGAGAGTTATCGAGAATCTGCGACTAATAAGTTAATTTGTGTATTGTCAGTTTATGTTGCATGCCGAGGAAAACTTTCTAACCGCAGCGTACCTATTTTTACCTGATCGAGATTTTGAAAATTATCACTCTGTCCTAATAAATAGTGCTTCAAAGAAGATAACCTAGCTGTTACATTATAAAAGTTGGGTCTAGCCATTATGAATACTTGTGCCTATGGACTGATTTGTAAAGCGCGCTGTAAGTTTCATGATCAGGAAACTACTCTACAGTCAGGACTTGTGCGTGAATAAAGAGATTCAAACACAATATATAAGAGACAACTTAATTTTTTTTTTTTAAACCCATGACCTGGATTTTCAAAACTTGAGCGGAGCATGAAATGGGCACCCCCAAAAATTCCTGGGAACGAACAATCTTTATTTTTAAAGGGTTAAAAATTGGGCCCGCAGGCCAGTCTAACATTCTGCTCTTCAAAGTTTCCCTCTATTCTTACATCATTGCATTCATTCATCAAGCAATAAACATCAATTGCATCAAAGTATTCATTACAAGTACTGGAATGTCTACATTTCTGACTACAGTAAACCGTAGCGGTTGTTATAAATCTAGGGCAAATGCGGGCTATTTCTAAAATATGTTTTTGTCCTTATATGGGCATGTAAAGCATGGGAAGCAAAGACAACCTGTGTAAAGTTGACCACGTCATTCATTCGTTGCCAACTGGTATATAAATTGTGGGTCTAGTACAGTGGCGTACACAGTTATCAAGTGTTATGCAATAGAAGCACCATAGCACTGAGGAATTGTCAGTATGCCCCCATATGCCCTGTCCATTGGCAATTTTTTACGAGAGAGGTCCAAGGGGTACAAACCTTGTTTAAGCGCATAATTGTATATATAAATATATATATATATATATATATATATATATATATATATATATATATATATATATATATATATATATATATAATGTGCCGAACATTTTACAATATATTTGTTCGCATAATATGAGATGTATAAACAAATACTTCACTGGAAAGTGGCTATACATAGTAATGGGATGACTTAGTCCGCGTGCTGAGCTCCTACTTTTCCGCCATTTTTTTATAATGGAGAGTGGGGTGGTGCCGTAAGGGTCGGGTCCTACAGGTTCCGTGCGTGTATGCTCAGTTACCCTTAGTTACTCGTCATTAGTTATCCTGTTTTTACGTGCTTTCAGTAATGATCGTCACATTGGCAGTCTGACCAATCACCGTCTGACACGTAGGCTCTGGGGTTAAGTTAAACTGTAGGTACACAACTCCGTAGGTTACTACCGTGCCTGTTATCTGAAAATGAAACGTTTAGCCAGTTTAACTTTTGCATGTTTTGTTGTTTTCTGTTGCATTTACTATATTGGTAGTTTTCTGCTAATGGTACTCTAATT